TGCACACTTGTGTATTCGTGAAATACGTAATCCCGTAGCCATAGAAGAATGCACGCTCACATAGGACAAAAGCAATTTACCAGCTTCTCCGGGCAACTGGGAAATTTTCCTCAGATACATTCAAGGGAATACTTTCAAGTTGTTTGTCATCCGTTTCTAACGAGATTGTGATACGCTTCCTTCGTTTCTCTTCTCGCTTGTACGCGCACACGTGCCGCTGGAGGGAAAAAGTAACGAGGAGAAATGCGATACCCCGTTGCGTAATTAGAATGGTTCAGAGAGATTCGTTCGATACACAATGGATAGCTGATTGCAAACCGACGAATTGGTTACGCGGTTCGAACTGTCGATTGTGCGGATACGTTGGTTAAAATAAGCGAAGAGACTCGTCGTTTATCTATGCGTTATTTAGCTACTGCTCCTTTTCCTGTGAATTTTTTATCCCCAAGATGTGGTTATCTTCCACGTACATAGCGAAAATATCGAGTAACTTGGTCAAATTTGACGGTAAAAAATTTATAAATTCTGATCAAACATGACATTCTATTTTTTATTATATCGTATTTCATTGCTGCGACTTTAATAGGGATGATTGGCCTAAGAAAATTTAGAAATTTCTAAAGAAAACTATTAAAATGTGGATATCACTGAAATCCCAATGGTGTTTAGAAATTCCTTGATATTATTTTTCAACTGTAGTGTGTTTTATTGTTACGTTTTTATTAGGGATAAAAAGTCCAAGAAAATTCAGAAATTTCTAGAAAACTGCAAAAATATGGAGATCACTGAAATCCCAATAGTGTTTAGAAATCTCTTGATATTCACTTTTTTACTGTAGTGTGTTTCATTTTTGTTTTGTTTTTATTATGGATGAAAAATTGAAGGAAATTCAGAAATTTCTGGAAAACCACAAAAATATGGAGATTACTGAAATCCCAAATCCTCTCTTTGATTGTATCGTGTTTCATTTTTGCAAATAACAAAGTCTAGATATCCCTAGAAAATCCCCAAACATGTAAAACAAGCATTTGGAGTTTCAAAAAATTCTCTTCCATTGCATCCCTAATATTTATTTCCTCGCACAACCTGATCTCTGGCAATCCCTTCGATTAAACCTAGCTAGGTTTCGTACCCTAATTTCGTATCCTCGGTGTCCGCCATTTTACGTCACGAGAAGCTTCAGCATCGCGAGGCAAACGTATCTCATACACCGACGCGAGACGAATGTAACCTGAACCATTTGTTCCATTTGCTCTGTATCTTCGTTTCGAACGTTTCACGTTTCACGATACACGGTGCCTGGGTCGCAAATAGACGTTCACGTGCAACCTATTTCAACCCTGCACGTATAAAGACCAGTCATTAGTTGGGATGTAAAGCGCGTTGGCCGGCTTCTGGATGATGAATTAGGAGTCCCTTGTTTGCGAAACGAGATGGTCGCTTTACTCGCATCGGTCGAACGCACATCCCTAGGTTTTGGTCAAAGTCTGTTAGTTGGGAGCCCTGGGCTGGGTCCGTAGGTGGTGTCGGTTGCGAAGTGGCCCGTGAGCTTCGCAGACACTAGAGGAATAGATTCCCCGTTGCATGGCTGAAACTATGAAGGCCATGCTACCGCAGAGAATTATTGGCAGAGGAAATAGTTGCGGTAAACATATTTTACGCGGTGATACGGACTAACGTTGTACTCCATATTGATCTTGTAATTGATAAACGATGGCTAACACCGCGGGGTACCAGTAATAGACTTGGTCGATTGGTATTCCTATTTGCTTTCGTATTTGGGACTAATTGCAGCACGAGAATGGACGTGAGATATCGTTCAGGTGACTTTTTATGCGAAAATGATCAATTTTCTGCCAATTTCTTTATAATGTAGGGATTGGTGGTGATGGTAATTTATTAATTAATTAGAACTGTGTGCGAGTGACGATTAAACATAGGAATGATCTCTTTACACGAATCTATATCGATTTTCGACTTAATACAGCGTTCAACTTCACGATTCAATAACAACTCGGTTTGCAACAACTAATCGTCTACAACTAAAATTGTCCTCCAACCACTCTTAACCTTCTTTATATATTTTTTCAACCGTGCACAGGTTTTCCGATGACCCCCTTAACATGACCAAATATGGCCACGTTGACCTCCTTTCCTGTGCCATTTAACTCAACAAAATCTGGGCCCAATTGGTAGGTGTCAACACAGGGTAAACAGACTAGATTGATGCTCGAAAATAGTCGCAATACTTTCTCTTCCCAAGTCTGACTCTTGATATTCATGTTTGGGTCAAAATTTTCATCGCGAGTCAGACTCGTTAAAATATAGGAAAAGATTTCGCGCAGGGTTTCTTCCAATTAACCTGGGCTTTGCTTCTTCGCAAAGCTACGTGCATGTGATGGAGAATTCGCGATACTCCAATAACGAATTTTTGAAATTTCAGAATATTTCATGCGATGATGAATAGTATCAAATTTGATCATTGAATGAAAATTCCACGAATTACAACGTTTACGCGGTAACCCAGTATACATCCAGAATATTAAACTTTTATCCAGAAAAATAAATCACCCCTGCGTACAAATAAAATTGGAAAAAGTTTCGCGATGACCAAACGGCGTGATGTAACGCAGTTCCTTATTTCATCTCAGTTCGACACGCCGATGTCAATCTGTACCGTCCCAGACGCTGTCAAAGTAAAAGCTCCGCAGTATTCGAGGCATAAACACCGCCCCATTAATTTCCACATTTGCACCGATGGTTAAGGCGGCAGGATAGCTGTTCGAGTAAATTCGGTACTCGTCGTTCGAAAATTGTGGCTCATAAACCGACTTATGACCGCCTCTTATTACAGATAAATGCGCCACGCTTCGTCCTCCTTTCCGTTCGGCTCTCAGAGATATGCCGCTAATAAAATGTCGCGAATGGTCCCGCGAAAGTCACGAAAACTCGCGAACACGACACGAGAAAAGCCTTCTTTAATTGCACCGCGATACATCGCGTCCCTTAAGCCGCTTTTCGATTCTCCGTTCGCTCGGACATAGCCGCGGGAGTCCTTATTTCGCGTGGCGATGAAATAGCGAAGGTAAACCCGGCTACTGGACCCGATAATTCACCTTCCTTCCCGGGGCAGTGAAAAATTTTCAACGTCTCCGTTTGCCGCGGTGTAACTTTCCAGCAATGAGAGATAGCCCCGCTCTCTCTCTGAAACTAAAGTGATCACGAGGCGCTTGGGAAATCACGAAAACAATTCGCGTTCCTCCGAGTGAAATAGTCTCCGAAGCAGCGAATGCTTTGTTCGCCGTTGTCATTGTCGACGATAAGTTGAAACGCGGATTGCCATCGTTTCCTGAAGACTGGCCGCTGTAAGGGTGGCTCTTAGCGTTGCTAAATAAATCTCTTCATCGAGCATCTCCTGCAGCCGAGTTATTTATACGAAATCTCCGAGCTGGTGAACGCGATCATCACCCGAACCCTCGAACTCGTCTATGAACGCGTATCGATCGTTCAGTTTAGGCGAGGACCCAGACTCAACGACAGAGATTACTCTCCAGATTACTGGCAACTTTGGTGTTTCGCTGTGCTCGACTTTGCGCCGGTATTACGAGGGATATTTTCGAAGGATATACGGGAAGTACCATTTCGTGTCCTCTTTTTACAGATCGATTCTACAGGTTTTCTGTCCACATCCACGTCGCGGTGAACGCGATAATGCTGCTGTTAGCGCTAAAGCTCGGAAGTTAGCAGGTATAAAGTTCAATGTTACGCTTCCGCTTGAAGCTAACTCGATTGTTAAAGCTGAGAAGAGGAGGAGGAAGAGCCGAAGGTTACTGAAAATTCTATGGAACACCGCCGTCGTTAATCAAAAGCGTTGAAAGAACCGACGATAAAACGAGAGAATCGAAGAGGAGATGATCAATTTTTTAACGTTTCGAGAAATTTACACCGATTAATCGACGCGTTCCCGGTCGATATTTAAACCGTGTATCCGAGCCACGAATTATACGAGGAGAGGGCGCGATATTTTGGGAAAAATACGAGTGGAAGCGAAACGATGACAAGGGAGAAGCTTTCTGGATAACAATTTTTGGAGCAACATCCAACGACGAACGAAAATAACTCGGAGATACGAGTGAATTGCCGCGTGTTGACACGTTCCAGCGTAACGGGTATTTACGAACAGGGGACAGAGAAAAGGGAAACAGTTTTCCTTCGTAATTCCGCTCTGTTGCCAGATGACAAGGAGACCATGAAGTAAAAAAACGGCCGCGTGGAATTGATGAAGATTCGCGAAACGAAACGGGAGATCACGACAAAGGGGCGCAATAAAAGAGATTACATTCGTAATTGCGCATTCCCTTTTGCCCTGGGAAAAATGAGAAATGCGAGGGCGGTGCTCGGAAAGTCTGTACCAGGACAAACGTTTCAAATTTTCGCGTAATATTATTCGGTGAGTTCGCGATTTATTAACGAAGCTTCCACGGAAAATCGAACGCAGGCGGATACAGAGACGCAAAAGTAGATCTCGCTAAAGGCTGAGTTCGCTGACTTTCGGAAAAGCAAAGGACGAAGACGAAAAAATTTATCCAAGATTAATTACACGGACACAGAGAAACGGAGCTTCGAGAGCTAAAAAAGATTTAGAGGAATTTAATCTGCGAGCTTTCGGGAAAAAGTTGCTGTACGTCTAAAAATTTCGACCTTTTCCTCTCACGATTTATACCGTCGAGGAGAAGCGAGGTAGAAAAGGTCGGGGGCAAAAAGGGATAAGGATCACGGATCAGCGATCGACGTAGAGGAAACTACATCGATATCGACGTTTACATGCCTCGAGCCGACCTAGCGGAACCTACGAGGCGTAAAAACGCGATCCGTGACGATTGCGTTCAAGCGAGAATCTAGATTTCCAACAGAGAGTTGCACGGTAAGTCGTCACGGTGTGCGGATTGGGGCGAATTCTCGGCTACATCGGCGGACGACCGTCGGTGGGGGCCGCCAGCATGTCGCAGTCCGGTTCTGGGGGGGTGAACGATAGCCAGGAGCAGAACCAGGTCGGGCAAACGATGGAGAATCAACAGACAGCGTGTCAGAACGGCCGGGCCGAGCCGCCTGCTGATAACGCCAAACAAGATTTGTCCAACGGCTTTGAAAATCGAACCATAGAATATGACAGATTCTCCCAAGATAGGGCTCAACAGAATCAGCCGACTGGCCAGAGCCAAGAGCAACAGCAAACTCAGCAGGCGGGTCAATATCCACCTGGAAGGAAGCAAACTGTGGTCGGTGTTCCGGAGGATAGACATCCTGCGACCGGGCAGCTTCCACCCCAACAGTATGCGCAGGAAAAGTCAGCTATCGAGAGAACGCAACACGTTTCTCAGACCAGCACTCAGACTCTACCGGTCCAGGCTCAACCTCAGTTCGTGCCTGACTACGATCAAACCCAGTACACGCAGATACGGAGTCAGTTCGAGGTGAGACCGCAAATGTACCCTCAGCAAGCTCAATACGCGGAGCGAGCCGGTTACGTGACCAGGGACGTCACCTACAGAGATCCCGCGTTGTACCAGGGTGGCGCGGCGAATCCTATGTTCACTGGCCAAGGTCAGTACGTAACCGTTCAACACGGATCGCAGATACCGCCTCAATCCGCTAGCCCTCAGCCACCCTACTTCTCAGGGGTTGTCGTGCCTCAACCACCGGGTTACGCTCAATTCGGCACGCAACCCCAATATCCCTACACTCAGTACCCCCAAACGGTTATGAACGCGGTACCGTTTAATCCGCACGCTGGCATCTATCCTCCTCAACAGTTTGGTCAGCAGTCACCCAATCCGCAAAGGTTTTCGCAGGAATTGGGTCAGTACCAGGCTCAGCCGATCATCCAACCGATAGCTCAGAACGTGAGCCACGGACTCGCGATCGCAACCACGGAACGACCTAGTCGTGGACCGAAACCGATGGTCCCGCCCCGAGTTAATTCGAAAATCACTCACGACACTGGTCACAGAAAGTCAGCGAGCGTGGACGTACCGGGCATGCCAAAGGCTAAATACGATCCCAATCAAAATCCCCCGCAGGAGCAGATCCATCGCGGCGACGGGGCAATAATCGTGCAAGGCACGCAGATAGTGGCTGACGCTCAGGACAGGAGATACCTGACGGCTATTAATCAAAATCCCAGAACAAGACAGGACGGACTGTACGTCGATACGAACGGCGATCCACCTGGACGGGAAAAAATGTGCGAGACCGTTGCGGCTGACTGCGGTCTCTATGTGACTAGGCCCGAGCACAGAAAATCTATTTCCGTGGACGTTACGTCGAGTTTCCAACGGCGAAACGATACGATTACCTTCACGTTTCCAGGCGACGCGAGTCAGGAAATATTGATACCGGCGAGAAAGACTGGAACCATGGTGGATCCGAAACGAGTCGAAGCCAATCAAGTGTATCCGCCTGATCAAAGGCGATTGGATACGAGCTTAAGAGTATCACCGATGGCTTTTGATACGAGACAGGAAAATAGGAAGAGCATAGGAGCTGATAGAAAGCCAGAATGGGGTAACGTGAGCCCTAATCAAAGAGTAGCGATACCGCAAGAAAACAGACGATCCGATTACTTCGACGAGCACAGGAGGTCACCGATGACTATAGAAGGCAAGAGAATGGAAGACGTTAGAAGGTCTCCTATGCCGTTCATGCCGATTCGCGAGGGATCATCGGATCGTGCCGCGCAGAAGAGTCCGTCGTTTGTAAATCAGAATTTCGAGAAGACCAGGCAAGAGTTGACCATATGGGCTGAGCAACGACAGCGACAGGAACACGAAAGGAGCATGATACAGAGTCAGATACTCTCCACCAGTCCGCGTTCGCGAAATCAGTCGGAAGAGAGGAGAGATCCTAGGCAGATCCATCAAGCGGACGATCGCAAGGAATCGAGGATGACGCAGTCGGCCTTCCAGCCTATCCCTAACATCAGTCAGAGGACGATAATGGAACAACGTCGTCATCTGCGACACGTGAGTGCCGATCTCACGAAACACATGGAGCTCTCTAGGAAGGAGTTCGACGAACAGCCTATCAGTGGGTCCGTGGCGAACCTTGGGCCACCTGCGAGCACTGCTCCCTCGCAGAGAGCCAGCCCTAACATTTGTCATCAGTATCCAGCCCTGAGCGAGGCCAAGTTGGACACCAAGACTATCCTGACCGTGGTGACAGACTTTAGCGAAACGAATTTAAATAAGCCGATCGATCAAGTGGATCACATAATTCACAGTCACCGCAAGAGCCACATCTCCAGCAACCTGCTGACTCACAGCAAGAGCCAGACGGATAATCTGCAAAGTCAACTGGATGCGCAAAACGAAAAACCCGACGGACTCGCGGCTCAGCAGCAACAGCTGCAGAATCAACAGAGTCTCGATTTAATTTCGGAGAAGCTCAGCCAGTTCGAACGTCAACAGAGCGACCTACAGGCAAAGTTGCAGTGTCTTCAGAGTCAGAATCAGATCCTCGACAAGGTGGCGCAGTTTCAACACCAGCAGAGCGATCTGCAAGTGCGGATGCAAAGTTTGCAGGCGCAGAACCAGTTGGGCGACAAATTGCAAAGGTCCAGCGACTTCCAGCAGCACTCGATCGGGAACGAGATTCTCCAGATTCAGTCGAACTCTCTGCCGAACCACCAGGAACCGTCAGCCGATAAGACTTGCTCGTCCCAGAGCCAGAACACCACGCACGGTCATCATCAAACGTTATTGACCGCTTCCTATTCACAGAACTCCAATCATCAATCCTGCCAATCTTCTGTCTGCGAGAAGCTATCGCCCAGGCTTCAGCACGATACCAGCGACCCGAATTCTATTCAGATACCGAACATGTCGCAGATGCCATTGCCGTGTCTGTCACAATTCGAGCGAGCCGACACGTCGCGTACTTCGTTCTCGCAGTTTCATCGACTTCAGTGTCAGATCGACGGCCACGAGGGCGCTTCAGTCCCGTCTAGCGCTGCTTCCGCAGCCTCGTTCACTGGCACGTTGAAGAAGGTACCACCGGAGAAACCACCGAGAACATCTCTGATCGTTCAGTCACCGGAGTCGGAGGTAAGAGCGTCAGCGATTGGAACCACATGGATGTTACACGTTTTATCCGATTTTTATTTTGCATGGCGTAACTCCCATGTTAATCTTCGACTGGTATCGTTCAGCCATCTGAGTTTATAACGACTTGGACTAAGCTTCGATACCAAATCGGAATTTGTAGCTTTATTATTTTGCACGTTTCATAGCACGTTAGTTATATCTTAAAATTGATCTTGGTATTATTTTTATAAAATAGCAATTAGTAAACATTGTAGGATTAATGCTAGATAAATCCTCTGCTGACAGAGGTCTGCTCGTTGCATAAGCAACGACTCCTTTTTAATATCATACAGATTTATTTAAACTAAAATATTACACTATTATCTTTCCCTCAATTATTGAACTCTAACTCTCAAACACTCGATTTTTCATTCACTATGACTCGACTGCACACATTCTAACTTGCAGCCTTATTTAAATCTTAACACTCTCTTTTCTCATATGCAAGCTTGTTTTCGGTGGACTAAACACTTGGACGCATTCCTAGACTTTCGTTCATTGCTTTCACTCGACTCGGTCATAAATATCTCATCCATGCAATCCCTGCACGCTGTCATTTGTCTGTCCACACGTACTCCAGATGTCACCCTGGACGTCCGAGCCGAACCCGATACCGCTCTTAACACTATATCTACCATGGTCTAAATCACCGTTTTCCACATTTTCATTAAAAATTCTGCTTTCATCGTTTTCAATATTCGTATAATAATTTTCTCAATGTCTCCTGTTATTCCATTTTTAAAGCTTCTGCTTCTTTTCCATTCACCGGTTATTTGACCATGCTAGATCTACTGTTAATGCTATTTCCTTTGCTAGAGTTCTTCACAGCTTGCGATACCGCGATCTATCATATGTTTCGTTTCATTGGACAGTAGTGAATTTACGGTATAATTATAGTGGTAAATAAATATAGGAATGAAAATGATGTAAGGGGAAGTACCTGTATAGAACAGAAGGTTGGTAATAATAGATAATCGAGCTATCAATGTAGGCTACTCGTTTTCCAATAATTTCCCGTAAAATTAAAATGCAGGAACCTTGGACAAGCAACGCACGGAAAGGGAATTCCGCGTTTCCCAGATTGGTAGTAAAGGAGGTGGTGTGTAGCGGGACGAAGATAGACGGGTGACCTGGCCGGAAAGGGTGGCGGATAGAGATCTCCACTTGCAGTTTTTGCCATGGCAGCCGAGTGGAATGAACTCGTTAGATATCAGACTCGATGTTGTCTTTGAAAACTTCGTTACGAGCCCTGTGTACCTTTCACTCTACTTCCACGCTCGGTCTTTTCGTCTAGACAACTTTGTTCGTGCCATAAAACTAGATACCGTCGTCCGACGACCATGTCACTCGCTGTAGCGTGCGCGTGTTTCGAATAGGGAATCCCAGATTTCGTGACTGCATAACACGCTCCTCTAAATAGAGCCCGTACTTGCTTCGAGAACTCCCTGCTTTTTGCGTCTTACGTCCCATCCTCCAAACCTACGATCCGTGTTCTTCGTAGGTGCTGCATTACTCCGATTGCTGTTACACGCAAATGGATATTAGGATTGCAAATTGCACATTTTTTCCGTGATCCTTGGAAAATTATAATTCCTATCGTGATTATAAAATTGTGACTCGGTAGTTATTATTACTGAATTATTACTCGTTAATTTTATCAACTTTTCAAGAGCAGATGAGATTTCGATATTTGACACTTTCATTGTCACGTTGGTCATATATGACCGACCACGGTTTCTCTTGCGGTCATTGGCGACCGGAAAACTGCAATTGTAAAAATTGAATGAAAATGAACAGTTAATGCATTTCGAATATAACCGTTAATTAAAAGATTCCTTGAAATAATATATACCCCATTGAACAAATAAAAATTTTTATTAGAACATTGATCAAAAAAATATTAGAACAAATCTTGCATATATCCCCTGGCGTCCTGAGCCGAATATGTGATTTCTACGTGGCAGTCAAGGGGTTAATCTATTACCATATAGATTTAAATAATAATAATAACGATAGTTATCGTCTCCTACTCGTTATATGTGACGAAGGATAAAATACAATTTCCAACGAAGATTTGTTGATCCATTCCTTCGATTTGAAACGTGCACAGTATTCTCGTTGTAGCGATCAACGTGTTCTCACCCTCGCCAATAGATGGATTCCTACTTCAAGGAGGTTCGAGGACTTGCGAGAAAGTCCTCGGTGAATCCTCGACTTCCCATAAATAGAAGTTTCTATGTCACCTAAAAGTATCCCAGTCTAAGGCAGGGTCTGCCAAGTTGCCTCACCGACGAGTCCACTAGCAGGCCCAGGACGAAACACGTTTCTTCTTTTCCTTTCATCCCTTTTATCACTAACGCCACATCAAGGATACCCGCGACCAGCCGATCTCAACAACCGTGGGGGATGACCCCCTACACTGTCAATCACGGTACCACAGATCGCGCGAACACGCATGCACTTGTTCGAAGAGCTTAAAAGCCAAACCCGAGAAAAGTAACAACCCCCACAGTATCGCTCACTCGTCCTATATCGTTCCACGTTTCACCATCGCTTTCTTCCAAAGCAAACATTCCACGAACCGCGAATCCTTGCAATTGCTCTCGCCCAGAAAAATTCCTGGAAAGACACACAACGGTCTAATGTAGGACATCTTGGGCGATATTATTTCACCAATCTCGCGGCTACCCTGTAGACAGGGGTATTTCCAATCTTTGCCAATACTTTGCATAAAAGACAGGGGCTTGTAGGGGCGTGTAGGCAAGGCAAATAACCGTCTCTCGGTGAAAACGTAGCCGCCGAAGCTCCGTTGGCGTCGTACCGGTAAAATTGGGTTAGCGCTACGAGTCGCGCGCGTATGAAAAGCTCTGGAGTTTACTTTCCCAGAAGAGCAAACATCCCTCCTCTCTTGCCAGCTCGGCATCCCCGTTCCGCGCCAATCCCTTTGCAGTACGGTGGACAATGGAGAAGTAAAGAGAATTCGCATTTCCGACCGCCGTGCGTTACCTAACCTACCTGAAGGGAGGGACCTGGCCGGGCGTAGGGCTGGCTCCTGGGCCAGCTTCCCTCTGATACAATTCCGTAATGGCCGGTGTTCCTTCTCCGTGCGGCGGGAATACGCGCGAAATAAGTAGCCGAATGGATGGTATAAAGGATTCGACGACACAAAGGGGAATATTTTATCCTCGCCACGGTGAACCGCAAGAATCGAATAGGGAGAGACCGAATTCCATATAGTATCGTCATTTTTTCGCTACCGGAAGATTTATCGCGGGATTCAAAGGGGGTCGCAATTTCGTCTCTGTATCGGGGTGAATCGTAAATTCTGCTCCGCTTGTATTATCGATTTCCTATTTTTTCCTTTTTCTTTTTTCTTTTTTTCTGGCGCGATAACCGATCTGTGGCGGGTGTTTAAATTATAGGAATTAGAAGCGAAAAGAATTAGACGGTGATTGGAGCAGCATGATTTTCCGCAATTTTTTCCTCGAATATCGACACACGTGCAACGACGTGCGTCACATATGCCCTAGTTTCTAGCTTTTCGTTCGGGCCATTATGGTATTTCTCTGTCTTCGTTGATTACAAATTTGGTACGCGAAACAATAATCTTCGCTTGGAGAATTAGGGCAGGGTACACGAATTTTTAGCTGAAACGTGTTCCGTGCTCGAAGCACAGCTAAGGACTCGCGACCCGTTCCGGTAATTAATTTGTGCTACAACTTGCCCTATGAGAATGTTTACTAGTATCATTGCTATTACTCCGGCGGCATTAAAAGCGTAAAAGAGTTCAGTTAACCGGGAGAAAGGTTCTCCGTTTCGCGGGGCAATTTTTCACGACCCTTTGTAACAGCAGTTACAATGCACAGGGTTAAGAGAATTCGCGTTCCTGGCTCGTGCTTGCTCCGGTGGCTCGTTTACTCGCTAGAGGATTCTTACTAGGCCAAGTGTCTAGGCAAGCGGGCGCGTTTCGTTCTAATGTAATTAATGTCTCCTTCTTTCAACACTCTCGGCCGTGCTTAGCGATGTAAACGGGAAAAGTGAGAAATAAAAGCGGAACAAGCCGCACCGGTGACAGAATTTTGCGACGTTAATGGACGTGACACTTGCGGCCCAGGGGGTGGAGCATCCAGTTTGTACAAGTAATTGCTCGATCGATTAATAATGCATTCCTTGTCACTCGGCGAGTGCTTTGACACGGATAACTTGTCAAATAGTTGCGATAACTTGCTGGAAACCGTCGACTCGTAATTAATATCAGCTCCGATGTCTTTGAAAGTTAAAAGCGTTATCGAAAGAAAATTATTTTCAAGTATGTCGGTTATTCGTTGGAGTTTTAATATCGTTCGGGAGAAATATTGTTTTACCCTTTGCACTCGAGGGGCGACACTCAGTCGCCATTTAATCAGATTCTGAAGATCGATATTAATTAATGTACCAAATTAAAAACTAGGCACCGATGCGTGCAATGTCAGAGTAAAATAATTCTGCGTCTTAATTTGCGTACGATTTCTTTTTTACTATTTTGGAAATATCAACAGCTTTATGATAGAAAGTCTTCGAATTACTATTTTTCTGTAACGATAAAATCGTCGAGTGCAAAAGGTTCATCCCGGTGTCAGTAACCATAATTCAGAGCGTTGTTTTATGTCCGCTGTAGGTACCTCGTAACGAGTTCCGTTATTACGATTCGAGCGTGTTTTTGTTCGTGTTTTGAATGAAAAAAGATTGGAAGGAATAATACATCCGTGATAAATTATATCGATATTGATATCGAACGCTCGTATAGCCTACTTTATCGACGAATTCTGATAGTTTTCCGATGACGAAGTTCCAAACACGAAGCAAACGTCGATAGAAAATATATCAAACAACGATCTGACCGGATATTAAAATCTCTTATCCATGAGACAATATTTTATATGAAATTGTACGTAAGAACACTGGGTTATTGACACAAGGGT